TGTCGAACATCTGAAAGAATGTTTCCAGCATAGGCTGGCGGTAATAGCAATTAAGTGTGATGACCTTTCCCACCTATATATCCCATTACCAAATAATGAGTTGATTAAGTTAATTTTACCACTGCTAATTACTAACAAAACAACATCCTATAAAAGAGGAACCAAACTGCCACCGAGTATCAGTAAATAAGTTTACAAACGCGGTCGATTTTTTTAGAACACTACAGTTGGGTTGAACTTAGTAAAGATTTCAATTGTTACATTGCTTTAATAAATAAATCACATCAACTTTTCTGTACACATTTCACACTCTATTTTACTTAGGGCACTCTTTGTTTCACCGACCCGCTACTCACTCGTAGTTATGATTATTAAAACTGTTGACCCTTTATGTGGGAGGTACCGAAGCAGTTGGTCAATATTGTCCAATTCGTATCTGACCTAAGTCTGATATAAGTATTACAACGTGTAAGATTTGGACTATATCGTCTATCTCCTATACTTTTTATAAGATAATATTAAAATCTTTGGAAAATGTGGAAATATGCGTGAGGTACCAGATATTTTTCTTCATCTTACAGACAGACAGTATTGCACTTAAATTTCGATTTTAAATATTGTTATTAAGTTCATATTTTCCTTGATGACCTCCGAAAAGATTTCATCCCTGCGAAAGCCGTTGTATACCCTTTGAAGTAGCTGTTTTGCAATGTGTGATAAATTGTTTTTGTAGTTTTCAATTCTAATTGTTATACGGTGTTTTTTAAATTGTTTAGGCATTCATTCCACTTAAGGGGAAATTTTTCAAGTGTTTGAAAAAAACAAATACATTTGAATGAATAATGTATAGTATTTATACAAAAACAGATATCTATTGCGTCTATGGTGGTATTGAACAATTTATATCAAATTATTTATAACAAAAATGCATTTATATGCCATGAATCAATTTTATATGCATCGACTTTTGCGCTGCAAGCCTTGAATCACTAAATAAATTGCCGTAGGTATCTGAAATAGAACAGAACAATGGTGCATACAGAATAGTTTTTTCAATAAAATAGATTTGCGGTATGTCATATCAGTTTAGGATTTAATTATATTGTGAAATTGTTTTACAGATTCTTAGTAATAATGAAAATGTAAAGATACCATGCCTCGGTTGGTATCTTTATGATGAACTTCTCCTTTCATGATGAACATGTTTAGTAAAAAAATTGAAATCAAACTTTTAAGCCTAATCCCATGGATGTGGCTAAAATACATTTCAAAAACTTCGAAGTTCTCATGACATGAGAACCTCGTTATAGATAACAAATTATGTATATTTTTCCCACGGAAGCTTAAGCATATTTAATTAATTTGATAAAAATGCAAATTCTCCCACAAAAACTAGTTTGCATAAGTGAAATTGTTTTAAAAACAGAGCGAAAGTGTGATGGCAAGAATGTAAATTTGTTGGTATAAGATTATTCCCTCAAGACCACAAAATTATTTAAAGATTTTTGCTATCAACTTAGAAATCACATCACTTTTAAACCTGATCTAAATTCTTGGGAGGTGTGAATACGTAATGTTTCTACTACCTGTCTAATCTTTATTTGTATATACAGACAGACCCCCAAAACATACATTCGAATAAATATTTATGTGTAAACACACAATACCTCTTTTTCATCTTATAACAATTCAACAAATTAAAGCCCATCCAAATATGTACAAAATGAAAGAAAAATCTTCCAAATGGTAATGATATTTTGCTGTCAACAACTTGCTATGAATAATTATTCCATTGAATAAACAATACATTTTCCTCTGGAGCAGAGTTTCCTCAAATCTTTTTAGGTGCAGAAATACACTGGGTGTCTGTGTGTTGGTATAGATAGAAGGTGGCGGAGAGCAGAACAATTTACAGCCAACAAGTTGTTAAACACATACATACATACAAACATATGTGCCATAACAAGAAAATCCTCCCTGTGTTTTTATCAGGTGGCACAGCTTGTTGGCTAAAAATTTTTCCAACATACATATTTATAAAGGAAAGAATTATACCGTTCGACTATATCTCCTCCCTCCGTCTCAAACCAATAAATAATACAACAGGCGAATGCTATTTATAGTAGCGAATGTTTTGAATTTTATCTGGAGCCAACGAAACGTAAATTATTTTAGATAAAATGATGATGACCTTAAACATTTTCCACCAAACCATTTAGCCAACACGAAACACCCCCATGATTTACTGTAAGCCAGCTACAAAATGGTTAACTGACTTAGGTACTGCTATTCTGTTGAAGTTCGCTTGGAACTGTCTGTATGCGGCAGTATTATGTGGATGATAACATTTTGTTCACATGATTAATGATATCATTGAAAATTCTCTTCAAGATAATGTGTCGGTTGACTGTCGCGAAAATTGGAAACAGAAAAAATTAAGAGTTAATACTCAATATTTAAACACCGCATTCCCACCAATGGAGAAACGAAAATGTTTACAAAAAATAATGTAATTAGAAAATCTACTCTTGATTAAATAATCTCCAACACTACGGAGTGAAGCTAACACCGATTTTTGGTGATAGACTTCAATCTAGGCATGAAGAGTCCAAATTTGGATTAATTTCCCAGATTATAACCCAAGTTATAAAAAAGTAAGCAAATGCCATAGTAGTGCGGGACCGATTATGTCATATCCTACAACACTATAATATATTGGCTAAGGGAGTTTAGCTTCAAATACATGTTGGTAGATTTTTTAATACATGTTGGTAAGTTTCGAGCGGTGGCATTTGCCCTACAATTACTTCCTCTGTCGTGATAGGTATTTAAAAAAGAAATTGTGATAAATTTTACCCGTTATATGTTATCCGATGGCCATCCAAAATACTGGGCTCTTGTCCTGTCCTAAATTAATATTATTCGATAATTGTCAAAATTGATAGGACTCCATACTGACCGAAACTCTCATCTGATGCAAAATTCCGCATCGGTTTGTCTGTAATTCTTACATGTGGATCGACTGCAATCTCAGAAAAAAAATCAGTTATTGGTCAATTTCAGCCCCAAGTATTTTGGGATTATATTAATGCTGACCCCAACCATGATGCATGCAAAATTTCGTGGGGATCGGACGATAAGTGCGAACTGAAGTATGATTTCACATTAACATGGACAGACAGACACAAGACTCAGTTCGTCGAGATATAATGATCTGTTTATTAATAGGTCTAGGACCAATATTTAGAAGTGTTATAAACTTCTTGTTCCAACCAAACATTTAATACCCTCACAACATAATATTGTAGGGTAAATAAATTTAAAATAATAATCCCAATTTTAGAGCACTCATCTATTAGTAAGAAAAGTTCTAGTTTATTTTTGTGAAAAATATTAACGTCTGCCGTTTGGCTGGGTTGGGAGGGTAAAATTTTTTTCAAAACCTAAATCATGATGCGCCAAAGAAAAAGGAGGAAATAACCCACAGAAAGGCTTCATATTCTGAATTCCGAGTATCGATACAGACACATCTAGAACATCTCGAATCCCTGTAAGACACCAATCGGGACTGAGAAAGACTGGACAGAATCGGGTGGTATATTTAAATGGGGTATACACCAAGAATGGTCCCCGAAAAGCACGTATTTATTACAATTTTCTACGAAAAGGTTATCTATTCAAAAAACAAAATCGCAAATTAGCAAAAATATTTTTAAAAAATATGAGCGTCTAGGAAAAATTTGGGATACCAATTCCTTAGTTTAAGAAGGAAGTGTCACGCGAAATATGTGTTATTTTCTGGCATGTGTTCATGAGGGATCAATGTTTACGGTTCCGATTGTGTTCTAATCTTGGAGCCAGAAGAAAGATTAGGCATGGTTTCCAAGTCCTAGGCATGGAAACAATGACATCTTTGACAAAAGCTGTAGTGCCCATTACGAACTTCAAATATGAAATTTAAAACGATTCCGGAGAATAATGTTGCTGAAATCATAAAATTCCGAATATCGGGAGCATCCGTTATATGGGGGCTATACGAAGATTTGTGCTGCAAATACCCATACCCATGTCATAGGCTGTAATACCCATTACGAACTTCAAATACGAAATTCGAAATAATTCCGGTAAATAGTGACGCTAAAATCATGAAAATACCGAATATCGGGAGATACCGTTATATGGGGGCTATACGAAGATCTGGAATTGCATACAAAACTTTTTGTCATAGGTTGTAGTACCTATTAGGATCTTCCACTACGGAATTTGAAACAAGATTCAGGGGAATAATGTAACCGAAATCTGGTTCACAATGTTTGAAAAAGTCGAGAAAGTAAATGTCGATTAAAATAAATGAAACCTCTCTGAATTTAACAATGACATCCTAAAACACGAGTTTCAACAATACAAAATCTAAATAACTGTTTTTCTTCTATCAAACCAACCAATGTATGTATGAAGCGAACAAAAAAATATAAAAACATTGTTATGGTTTTTTTTTTTTAATTTAATTAATAAATTTTATTTAGATTTCTTTACAGAACCTAAAAGGCTTAAGGGTTTACAACTATTAAATTATGGTTTTTCTTTATGTTTATGGAAGTTTGAAGTTGTTTGTTTTTCTTTCATTTTAACTTGTTTGTTTTTTTTTTTTAATTTATTTTTAAATTATTATTACAACTAAGATTTTCTTTTTATGAAAAAATGTTTAAGAATTTAATTTTTGTTTTATCAAAGTTTTCCTTTTTTCTGTGTATATCATTTTTAAAAATAATTTACCCATTAATGAAAAAAATATATATATTATTAATTAATGAAAATAATTAATTAATAATAACTATAATAATAAGTGTATATAGTAGTAGAGAAGAAAAAACCGTAGCAAAAAGGCGACAATAGTGGATTTTCTTTGTTGCTGTTCTTGTTTTGTATTATTATTGTTGTAGTTTATTATGAAATGTATGGTTGTTGTTGTTGCTCTTGTTCATTTTGTTTATGGTAACTTTAAAAAAGTTTAGTTTTGTTGCTTGCGTTTTTTCTTGTTCATTTATTTTTTTGTTTTATTATTATTATTATTATACTGGGGTGTGTATAGGTTGTTGTTGCTGGAAAGAGTGTTGATAGTGGAAAGTTTTGGTTGCATGGAAAAAAAGAAAAGGGGGGAAACATGTCCTGGAGGTCTTTTGTTTTGTTTTCGAGGGGAATTTTTGTGTTTGCCTGTGTTTTTGTTTGTTTGATTTGTAATTATGCTTACACATGCGGATGTGCACAGAGTCAGAGTCTATGCATGGATAGTCTTACAGCAGAACACATAGATTTTTCTTGGGCTTTTTCTGTTTCTTTTCGGGTGACTTTTTGTTTATCTGTCTGACGAGGTCATAGAAGATATCCACAACATTCACTTTAGCTTTGGCAGATGTTTCCATGAAGGCGCAGTTGAATTGAGTGGCCAACGATTTGCCCAGCTCTTTGCCCACCACACGTTCTTCTTCTAAATCGCATTTGTTGCCCACTAGGACCATGGGTACATCGTCTGTGTCCTTGACGCGCAGAATTTGTTCCCTCAAATCTTGCAGATCATTGAAGGTGGATTGTGCTGTTATGGAATAGACTAAGACGAAACCCTGGCCGTTTTTCATGTACAGATCACGCATGGCGGTAAATTGCTCTGTACCCGCCGTATCCAATATCTCCAGCATGCATTGTTGCCCATCGACTTCCACCTGTTTGCGATAACTGTCCTCAATGGTGGGATCGTATTTCTCAACAAATATGCCTTGTACGAATTGCACGGTTAGGGCGGATTTACCTACACCACCACTGCCCAAGACGACAATTTTGTATTCACGCATTTTGATTTGTGTGCTGCTTCTGGTGGGCTGCTCTAGTTGGTTGGTTTGGCTGGCTGGCTGGCCGGCTGGTGATCGTGGTCAGTCAAGAGTGTGCAATAAAGATAGTTTCACTTTAGCTATGATTGTTGTTGCTCTCGCAGCAATTGTAAATAAGGCGAATTCCTACGATTTATTATCTCGTGCTCGTTAAGTGGCTGAAGGGGGGGAATTTGTTTGCAGCTAGTTGACCGGACTGGTTAAAGGTTAACATGCAATACTCCCCTTTTTTGGGAAACAAAAGTTCTGGAAGATATTTTTCGTAGTCTCTGCAATGCACGCTGACTTCTATTAATTTATTTTGTGTGTTATCGTCGTCGTATTAGTGGGTTTGCTCGCAGCTTGCTGTTTGTTGTTTTATAGGCGTTGTTTGTTTTAAACAAAGATTGCTTACAGTTTTGCTTTATCGACTATTTGTTGTTAATATTTAATGTAAAATAAATCCAAGTAGTAAATTTGCTTAATTTGATTTCTTATTATTATTAGTTTTTTTCTTTGTGTTTTACTTTCTTTTCTTTGCTCGTTTCTTATTCAGACTTTATTTCAGATGATGATTATTTAACTTTTTGTTGCTGCTGTAGCCGCTGTTGTCTCTGGTTTGGTTTGCATGAAGATGAGAGATGTATGTGTTGTTGGCTGGCTCGGCTCCCCTATCTCTGCTCTCGCTCTCACTCGATTTTTGTTCAACAAAGGAAATTCTTCTGTTGTGCTGTCAGTAATTAATAAGAGTGCACTCTCTTGAATCTCTCTGCTCGAATAGGGCCTTGTCTTTCTTCAACTTGTTGTTGCTATTGTGTTATTCTTTGCGGCTTTTTGGGTCTGTTGAGTTTCAATTTCCATACACACAAACACACTCTTTTAACGTTTAATTTGAAGTTTTTGGCACTATTATCTTTATTTTAAAAAATACAGCACAACAATAGAGTTATTGGTCTTGCTCTTCTTCTTCTCTTGATTTCTGGAATTTACCTCATTCACAAGTGTGCCGCCGCAAAAAGTGTAATCAAATTTCACCTAAAACGTAGATAAAAAACCACATTAAAATCATTTCTTGTAACGATGATATGGTGCAGATGTATCAATTTAAACGCCACAACCCCATTGGTATACTTTTTCATGTACATAAGGCAAAGGAGAATTGTATTGTACTACATTCTTTATTTCTTTATTAATAATTAACTCATTGCTAAACTTCACATACAACAAATTAAATTTTTGACTCAAGCTAAAGCGCTTTAATGACTCACCACAAACACACAATTACTCTTGCATTTATAAAACAAAAACTCACTAACAATTTCTTTGCTTCTACAAGCATTCACAACTCACTCAACACACATACATACATTTCTCTTTTATTAGCCACAAAAAAATTAACTTGCCTTTCTTTCGCGATGTCGAATGAGACAAAAAACGAGCAAACTTTGTGCGTTATTTAAAAACTTTTGACAATTTGTGCCTCTATTTAGTGCATAAAACGCAATGTTTCAATTTATTTACCGGTTTCTTTATCACTAGTGTCTCTTTTTCTTTATTAAGCAAAAATACGAGCTTAAAAATTCTTGTCTGTATCGATTACGGGCGTCACATCACATCAACTTGATGAATGCCAATATTGCCAGCACACAAAAAGCGACTTTTCCCCGATTTTAGGATGTGGCAACTCAGTCGAAAAACTCGACTACTCTTAATGAATTGGTAGCATTGCATTGTATAATAATTGTTATTCGGTTTAAGGGACTATTAATACCATGTTCTCATTTGAAAGTCAACTCAAAATTACAAACACGAATTAGTCTGTTGATGCGACACGATTCGTTATTCATAGTAACATAATTTATTTAACACACTTCTTGTTAGTTGATGTTTATATGAATTTTAACGAAAATACATGAAAACGTACTGATATAACAGAAGAAATGCTTATTATTAGTTAGCGTGTAATTCGATATCATAAAGAGGAAAAGTCATGACAGAAGAATACAGGTAGATGCACCAATGCTTGGGAGCATTGTTATGTCAAAAAAAATTAAATGTTTTTTCAAATACAAGAAGATTTTTTTATGTTTTCTTATACGACGTCATCCGGAGGTTATTATAATTCGTGTTTTCAACAATTTTTACAAATTTAAAAAATTTTCATTCAACATTTTCAATTCCAAAATTGGTTTGACAGTTCATTGTCCCAGCAGCTGTGTCGATGCGTCTACCTATATTCTTCTATCATGCTTTAGAATATATGCATTGTTTACAGAGATATGGCAAGCTTTTTGTGAAAGTAACTGGTAGTCACTGCATTTTTTTTCCCAATGGCATCTTCATTTTAGTTTGAAAATAATTAACAAAACAAATTTTTATTTCTTTTCGTGAAATAAATCGATAATTCAGTTCTTCAATATAAAATACTCTATCCATTATCCATTTTTTTATTTAAATAAATTTTGCTGTTATTGCCATATTATGAATATAAAATATGGCAACATGAATTCTGTAATCTTTACGTTAAAAGATAAAGGGAAGATGGTCATACCTTTTGCTTATCGGACAGTTCATACTTAAATGAAACTTATAATAACGGAAAACGATTTATGTGTCCGACAACATCACTTTTTTATCTATCGGCAAGATGTAATAACCGGCCATAGTAACATAGTACTAGTATGAGAACGAAGAAGAAATACAGGGTGAGATAAAAAAAAACTACAACAAAGTAAAATGCCACTATTTGTAATTTTTTTCTTTTTAAATTATAATGAATGAAAGCAAAAAATATTGGAAATAGCATCAAATTTTAGAATAAGTTTAGATTTGTTCGAATTGGTCACCTTTGGCACGAATTATGACCTTCAAGCGGCCAATGAAACCGTCACACGCTGCCCGACTGGTGCTCTGTGGTATTTTGGCTCGACACTTTGGTATTTTTTAGTGACAACTTTGCTTTCCAAAATTCTCCAGACACAATAGTCCAACGGATAACCGGAGATTTTGGTGGCCATTGTGCGCTGGAAATGAATTGAGGAACCTCATTTTGTAACCATTCTCGGGTGGTACGTGCTGATCCCTGTTAAAATGTCCAGGGTCTGCGGCCAAAATGTTTGCGTGTTTGCGTGCGTAGGCTTTAATACACCCCCAGAATATTTTCGCGATAATATTCGACATTTATTCTGATGCCACGGTCAATTAATACAAGTGGAGAGCGACCATCGGCTGTTATGGCGGCCCAAATCATCACCATGGCCGGCGCTTGAGTTCTGGTGGCCAACCGAAGGTGCACATTTTCAGCTGACCTCTTTGGCAAGTAAACACGATCATTTTGTTTGTTTACAAACTGCTGGACAACAAATGTTTTCTCATCGAAGAAAACCAAATTTAGGAGTTCACCACATTCGGCCAAGCAAAGCAACTCTTTAGATCTTTTGAGTCTATTTTCTTTCTGTTGTGATGTAAGTTGTGTAAGCACTTTTGAAATTTCACTGGCTTTACCCAGAGCTCATTTTTCAATATCTGCCGAATGGAATATTGCGATATGTTCAGCTCAGGAGCCATTTTTGGCCACTGCGACGCGGGTTTCGATAAAGTAGCTTCTTTACTTTTCGAACCATTTCTGCTGATGTTGCTGTTTTCTTTCGTCCACTTCCTTGACGTCGGTCTACGCTACCAGTATCACGGTAAAGAGCGATGGTACGAGACACGAAAGATTTATTCACATTTAAATACTGGAGTGCTCTTACGATAGCCACTTGTGGTTTTCCAGCCAAATATAAAGAAATCACACTATCACGCTTGAATTCCATCACGAATAACTTTTTTTTCGAAAAAATTCTTACCAAAATGCTTTTGTACGCTTGTAAACAATGGAATAATTTTAACAGATGTCGGACGAGTGGCTTAGAAATGACAGCAGTCTGAAGTTGATTGCAGTTTTTCATCTCACCCTGTATATTCTTCTACCATGGTCTTTTTAGGGAATAAAAAGGACTCTGCAGTATTGGTGATTCCGAAGAATTCCTCCATCAGGATATGTCGATTTTCATTAAATTCTGCTGAGTAAGACATATCCTTCTTCACTTATATAAAATTTATTTTACATTCTCTCTCTCAGTTTAAGAAATAAACATCTTCCGGCCCAATTCCCCGGCATCCCATTCCTAAAGTTTGCATATTTAATTGAAATTAAATCTTTTTTTTTTTTGTTTTAATTGATTAGCATTTTTATTGTTAATTTTATTTTACTTAAATTGGCCAACACTTTGGGCAAAAACTAAAATTACAATTTAAAAAAATACAAAAATTCGTTACAAAAATTTAACGATCAATTACAAAAAAAAAAAAAAGAAAAGAAACAAAATAATATACTTTTTGCAAAACAAGAAAATAAAGCATTTTCGTTTTCTTCGTATAGAAAAGGTAACGATTACGATCGGCATATACGATGTTACTCGTCGCGTTCAACGTATTTTTGTTACCATACCAGCTGCAATTGTAACACCTGAAACACGTAACATTATGCGACCCAATTCCTTAAAGTCCGAATAACGTTCTATACATATGGGTCTTGTTGTTTCCAGTTCAATCAGGGCACAGGTGTTGTTGCCCAAACAACGTGGTTTTTTCTTAATAACCTCCCCCGTACCCTTGTGTATCTGTGCGTTTAGTTTACTAATAACAGCTGGTTCGATAAGTGACTGATGATGCAATAGCACCGGAAAACCAATTGTAATTGGTACTTTAATATTGAAAATTAGCAGACGAACTTGAAAACGTGTCGTCACCGGTATTGGATGCTGCGGATCACATATAATGCCTCCCACAGTAATGTTATTTACATCAATTCCTGACAGTGTAATGGCCACTTGATCCCCGGCAAAGGCATTGTTTTGTGGCACTTCATCTATGAGCAGACTTTTGACTTGACCTTGTTCTCTGAGAGCTCCCACCAATACGCGATCGTTGACACACAAGGCACCGGTTTCTATGCGACCCGATATACAAAATCCTGAAGATGTACCCTTAAATATATCCGAAATAGACATACGAAATGGCTTGTCCACAGAGCGTTCAGGAATTTTAAAATTATCTATAACAGCCAATAGATGTGGACCTTTGTACCAGGCTTTAAGGGCAGGCTCGGTGGCTGGTTTGGCGAGATTCTCTCCAGTCAATCCTGAGCATGGAGTGTATGTTACATCGGATTCTTTGTAGCCAGCTTGTTTAAGGAAAACTTTGAGTTTTTGAACAATTTCATCGAAACGTTCTTTGGACCAGTCTACCGTGTCGAGTTTGTTAATTACAACACCCAATTGGTTGACGCCCAGTGAACGCACCAAGATGGCATGTTCTCGTGTTTGACCGCCTAAATCAAAACCAGACTCAAACTCTCCTCGGGTGGCATCAATAACCAATAGGGCTACATCCGCTTGTGTAGCACCTGATATCATATTGGGTATAAAATCCTTATGGCCTGGAGCATCAAGAAGTGTGATTATTTTCGTTTCCGTTTCGAAACGGAAATGTCCAACATCCATGGTGATACCTGAAAACAGAGAGAATTTTGATATGAATTGTATAGCATCATGAGGTTAGGGTGTGTTACGTATATGCTTAAATCGAATCATCAGGATTTGAAAACAAAATTATGTTAGTACACAATTTGCGATAAATAATTTAATTAGTCCATGATGAATGGATCCTTCAAAGTATTGGCATAATCGATGTAACCGTGGGGAACCCTCCGCCATCTGTTGGCCTTACCGTATCACCTTGTCAATAAACTTTGATTCGAACAGAATGGATCAGATTTTTTTCACACAGCTACAAAGAGCAAAATCCATCGCAAATTTTAGTTCGGTATTTTCTTAATTCATTATATAAAGTCTGGACCCCTTGTGCAGCCAGCTGGTGACTTGGCGGTCTTGTTTACCGCAGGAAGCTATGAATTGCGGACGAGTTTAAAATGGGGGTAGGGGTAATTGGGTAGTGGATATGCATATACTATAGCATTGTGATTGCGAAAAAATTGGAACAACTCCCATTTCTAGATCACATCTGATTAATGTACTTATCATTATGAAAAATGCACATTATTTGGTATTATTTCAGACCGATCCGAGTGTTTTTTGGCATCACGGCACATTCTCGATGAATGTTTGTTCTTGGAATCCCCGGGTTCACACACTTAATAAAATCTTTCACTGAAATGAAACCTGAAAATTATTTCCGCATTAACATTCAGAAATCTTACCTCTTGCTCTCTCCTCGCCAGTCTCATCCAATACCCAGGCATACATAAAACTTTGTTTGCCCAATTTCTTGGACTCCTGTTCATGTTTGTGCATAACTCGTTGCGAAACATTGCCGGTATCGTACAACAAATGGCCCATTAACGTACTCTTGCCAGCATCCACATGTCCAATGACAATCATGTGGAAATTATGTTTTTGATCGGAACGCTCCTTGACGTATAATTGTTTGGCATCACGCTGCGATTGTTCTTTGGAAACCTTAAAAACATTTGCATCCAAAACTCCGCCACCACCACTTGCAGTCTTTTTATTGGAATCGTCGACAAATTCGACGGGAGTATTGCGTCCAGAAAGGGCCGGGGAACTTGGCAAAGCTGGAGAGCTTACCTCAAAGCCTCGCTTTACTTCACTTTGTGCAGCTGTGACCTTAACAACTGGTGTCGCAGGGGCAGATGTTTTTCTATCTGCCAACTCACTCAGCAAGATTTTCGGCGGCACTGCTGCTTTGCTTATCACATTAGCTGTGACATCCTTCTGCATACGTTTAGCTTTGTTCTCCGTCTCATCGTTTAGTATTTCATCTAATATTTTATTAATATCATACGCAAATTTTATCGAAGTCTCCACAATTCGTTTCTCGGATATGGTATCGCCCACAACACTTCTAACCTCATCAATGCACGATGTCAACTGGGCCTTTTCCAAATCGTTCAATGAAGGCATCTGAAAGTTATCCGAATTTCTTCTGGACTTTTCATACGACTTTTCCTCCTCAGCATCCTCGTCTTCTTCCTCTTCGGCAATGTCTTTATTGTCACGCATAAATGCCGACATCGATTGATGTCCCCTCGCCCGGTCGTACAGCCACTGTTGGGCATCTGTGGGCGATATACAGCTATCATCATCGACGGAGTGGCCGTAGACATCATCATATCCGTCGTACTCGTCGTCGTAGTCCATCCTTCGAACAATTCTGTGACGTGACATGTTTCTTGTCTTCGCCTTGTAACCTCTTTCCACCAACAACAAAATTTACTTTCAAAGCTTTGCAAAGTCTGGGGGATTTCATAAATTCAGTTTATTTTGTTTTATTAAATGCAGTGATTAAGCTTTCGTTGGATTTTTCTGATTTTGTGAAATTCTTGGGCTCGTGAACACATTTGACACATTTGAAAACAATTATACAAAAATGACAAACATTATGACCACTATACGTTACGATTCCTGTCACCGGACAACTAATTACAGAAATAGAAACAGCTGTCGGTGGCTTTTTGCCATTTTTGTGTGCGTGACTACACATTATAGAAGAATACAGGTAGATGCATGGTACAATGATATCAAGGTAGGGCTATGATACCATATGATTTTAATTTTTTTTTATTTTCTTGGCTTAATATGTCATCTTTATTGTTTATGTATTTGTTTTCTTTTCAATAACAAAACAATTGTTCAGAAAATATTCAAATTCGGGTGTTTTCAAAATGTTTATTTCAACGTATGCATCGACAAAATCTAGAGTTTTTGTAGCGAAATAATCCTTTAGAGATATATAGTACATGATTTTGAAAATAAGTGTTGACCTTTCATTTAGTTATCGCGTTTTTTCAATTATTTATTCAAAATAAATGCAACAAGTTGTTTGATTTTTATTGTTTTGATACTAGTTCTGACATTACAAGCCAAACAGGTAGACCTCTATACTTGCAATTATTTCAAAGTTGGCCTACCTTCTCTTCACTGTACCTTGGGTAGATGTATCAACGCTTAGGAACATTGATACTTCAATTTTTTAATGTTTTTTTTAATGAGTAGATTTGTAAATGTTTTCCTATACGAAGCCAATCGGAGGTAGTGATGATATCCATTATTTTTTTCAAAAATTTCGATTCAAAATTTGGTTTGACAGTTCATTGGTTTTCATAGCTGTGTTGATGTGGCTATGTGTACTCTTCTAATATTCTTTATTCCTCTCACGTTTTAAAATAGCAGGCAAATTGAAGAAAACACTCACAAATAAGAAGTTATCAGCTTGTGGCTGTTGGTTTTGAAGGATTGCTATCTAGATTTCACATTTCTAGTCTTCCGTTCTCTTACTTTCTGAACAACATTAAGGTGAGAACACATTAAACGGTTTTATAGAAGGTGTGAGTCATAGGCTAGCTGCTAACACCCGCCGATGACTTAAGCCGGTCAAAAAAGCGTTTTATTTATTCTCACCTTAATTATCTCATAGGGAATTTTATGACACAATTGCAGAAGGTAGAACAAATCTACACTCTAAATAGAATTTGTTTTCTTTTAGTGCCCTAATGCCATGTTTACGTTAGAACTTTATGTAGGGTTAACCTTCTTTGAGAGGATTTATTTGAAGTAAAAGTAATGGATATGACAATTTAAATCCAAATCTAGTGGGTCTAGTGGGTTTTGTCGAAACATATACACATTTTGTGTATGTGTGTGCATTGCTTTTCCAACAAAAAAATACAATAATTTGTAATTATTTTAAATTCGGTTGTAAAATAAATGCATATTTTCGATGTTAATGGACCACACATTATAAAATAATGGGATAAAACTGTATTGTCCTATTAGTTTAAATTCGATCTTGTGGGATAACCCCAAAATTCCATTCTTGTTTCGCTGGTTCTCCCCAATATAAGAATTTTGTGAGAAAAATAAAAATAAACAAAAGCAAATGTTGCATATTTAAAAGTCTATATGACACTAAAAGACTCCATTTTTTCTTTCTTTAATGTTGAGCAACCTCATTGAGCCATGGGGAATTCCGTTTTTCTTTCTTTTAAGTGTGAAACAGTTTAAAGCTTAAATCTTGACTTCGGTGTGAAAAGTGGAATTTTTTTGGCTGAAGGTAATGTGAAAATACAACACTCCTGTCGCCTTTGAGATCTGTGTTGCAACCAGTAGCACGATTTAAGCTCGGGAATACTTCTATTGTTTACGTGAATTTACTGCACTAGACAAAACCAAACTGTTTACCTTACGTCTCCCACTAATCAAATACTCAACGTAAAAGAAAAGTAACTAATTTAAGTACTGAATTTAACAACCGTGAATACTACAGCTGACAGAGTTTTCCCATGCCTGTTTCGTAAACAACGGTGTCTTCCTTTTACTTTTATTGTTTATCGGACATTATGTTTTGTCTTCATTATTGGACTCGTTTGGGACGTTTTTTATTTTGATGCAGGCAAGCGTTATTAGCCGGACAAAATTTTTCTTTTACCATGTTTTTTTGTATTACAATTAAAATTATATAACAATTAGGTAGCATCAAGTTCACTTAGAAGCTTATAGTAATGGAAAATATCGACGAGAAATATCGCAAACCAAGACGAACAAAGGGAACGCCTTCATACTATTATCGAAATCGAGTTGCTGCAGCAGGAATTGTTGCGGGAAGTTTAATATTTGCTTTGTGGTAGTAAGTTTCAGAAATGTGTTTCACAATATTCCCAACGGTACATTCTAATTGTCCACTTGCTCTCTCTAGTTGTACACCAATATACCAAGGAGCTTCCGAGAAATTTGTACGTGAATATTTGACCACAACCGAGGAGGAGAAAGATCGCAAATATATGTTCAATCTGAAAGCAAATCCTCGCACGTCGAAAGCCATACAGCAGACAATAGACGAAAAGAAACAATTGATTTCGGAACGATAGAAATTGGAGCTGAAGCATATGCTATGGATCGTGCAACCCGTAAAGCTAATCTAAAGAAACTACAATTACCGGGTACTGTTAATACAAGACAACGGTATGCATGCACATTCTTTCTTACAATGTTCATTGACTAGATGTAGTTAATAAAGTACCTATACCAAATAAATGTTTATTAGTTGGAAAAAGTAATGTTTTTGTGTCTTCTTTTTTTATTTCAAGTAAAAAAACACAAAATGTCCAAGAACTAGGTACGGCCTCAATTTCAAGTTATTTTGCTGCTTCAGAAAGTGACAACAAAATATCCCCCGAGAAGAATGGGAAAGATAAATTACCGGTCAGTGATACAACAAAAAGTAAATGCAATGAACCTGAAGAATCAGAAACACTGCCGAAAACTAAAACGACACGTGCCAAACGTACAAAGCTCGATGCATTCGTATTTAAACAGCCAAAATCATTAGACTCCGGTACAAATAATGATCAGTTGCAGGAAGATGATTTCGATGTGCCCGAAAAGAAAGTCAAAAAGGCACCACCACCGCCCACAACAAAGACGGAAAACAAAAAGGGCAATACCAAAAGTAAGGTCGCGAAAAAGCCTACGAATAAGAAAAGACAATCCACAATAAAATCAGCATTTCTTCGTAATGAACAAATGTTTGCTGAAATAGCTGCCCAACATTGTGCCGCAGATAATTTCAATGTCGATGATATTCAACTGGCTTTGGCAATATCTCGTTCTGAAGCCGAGAGTAGAGGAATAGCTGTTGCCGCAGATAACGAGAATGATGGTGATGTTGTTTGTGTTGCAGATCAAAATGACGAGGTTAAGGATGCAGAATCAATAAGGCAGAAGCTAGCAAAATATGGATTTCGTACAGCCGAAAAAGAAGGTACGCCCAAAGGTTAAAATTAAATTAATTTGTTTATAATTTTTCCTAACGTGTTTCTTTTTCCATTTCAGATTATAATGCATTTGCCGAAGCATTTATGGCTAAAACAAAAGTTCGTACCAAGAAAGCAAAATGGGCCAATAAATTTACCACATTAACACTGCGCGATGAACAGCTGCAAAAGAAAAAACTTAAAGAACAAATAGAACTGATTCTAAATAAACAATTTTGCAGAGCATCTCAATCTGTAGAGGAACCTTTAGTAGAAACTTATCAACTTCAAAGCAAAATACTTAGAGTTAGTCAAAAAGCTGAGGTCAACGAAAAAGTTGTACAATGTCCAGAGCTGGAGGAAATACCATTGGAACAGTTTTTTGTCACTGAGTTATTTCCATTAAGTAAAGTGAATGCTGGACATTTACTACGAAAATGGGAAGCAATACAGGGAAGAGATTTTACACCCAAAAAACAAAGTTCAAGGGCAGAGAAAATGGCAATAAAGATACATCAAATCTATAAAGATTTGGAAAATTACTATCACAGACTCAAATATCCTTCGTTGGATGGGGAAGTGGAAAATGAAGAAATTATAATTACTACTGATAAAACTTCCATTGATGATCAAGCAAAAATGGGGGACGTTGAATGTACCAGCGATAAACCTGTGGATTATTTTAAAAATTTACGTGTTCGAGAAGATGAAGATAATCCGAAGTCCGATTCTGGCAGTTCAATAACTAGTTCCATTTATAAGAAAATTAAATCTTTAATTCCACCCACCAGAAGTTTAGAATTAATGGATGTTTCAGCTGGATCTACGGACACAAATGCTGCCACAATATGTTCATCGCAAATGGAAACAGAACCACAGTTGAAGCTATTGAACAATGTTTCGTGTACACCTGAAAATTTATTACGAAATAAGGATTGTGAGAATACTTTGGAGGTGGGAACTAGCAATATAGAAATTAATTCATTAAACGCAGCAAGAACACATGAAAGCAGTATTGTAGCATCGTCTAATATAAAAGACATTCCTGAAACACATAAAGTTCCGTTGATAAATCATGCAAGTGATAGCAATAAACCCATCGTGGATGTTGCCAAAGGCTTAGACCTTAGACCTACAACTTCCTGTATTACACCTCAAAAGCCAACACCTAATAGCGGTATGAGTTCCACACAAAAACCGAGACCAAATTCACCCGATTTATTTGCCGATTCAGATGTTGAAATGGAAGATGAAGAAGAGACAAATATTGACATTGGTAAAGGTGTGTATTCCATTTGCTTTCCATGATAATATGATAAAGATTATAATAATCGTCACCAGAGTAATAATCAATTCAATCCCTGGTAATATTCCTTGAAAATCTTGAAGGTTAAAAAATCTATGCAAGAAATAGTCAAGCTTGATTGTTTTGGAATTTATTAGCCATATGCAACAACTTCAAATTATATACTAAGGTTTTTGTTGGTCGTTCATTGTCTGAAGGGTGGCTGAACCAGCAGCGAAATCTATTACATATCGAATTCAAAATCAATATTCAATACGGCGAAAAAAAACCCATAGAATTACTATGTACGTCTGATTTTTTATGTTCTGCGATAGGTTTTCCTTCCTTATTATTTGACCATGACTTCGTTCCTTTATGTTCTAAACCATTTATATTTATTTGTAGGAACCAAAAATGTCCACCAATTTTACACCATGAGCACCGTGGATGCTGATCCAAATACAATCGAAATCGTTTCCAGTGAAGAGGGTAAGATCTGCTCTCATGCAATATATTTGGATCAATTCCATTAATAATATTATTTTGTATAGCAAAGAATAATTTTTCGCTGGAGTCTACTGAACACATAGCAAAAAGTGATAGTGGTAAGAAATGCCATTTATTATCATTAAGGCAATATTATATATTTTTTTATTTTCAGTTAACCACCATACAACCGTCCTGAGAACCGAAGATGTGGCCACAAATGCAGTTGAAATATTTTCTAGTGAAGAAGGTAGGATCTTGGGCTAAAGGACATTTAAAAAAGCGTCCATTAATAATATTTATTTTGTATAGCAACAGACCTTTCTCTCTGGAGTCTCAAAAACACCCATCGAAGAAAGTTGGTATGGAAAATAGTCTAGAAACCATTCAAAATATATGTTCTCATGTATTTAATTTTGTCTTAGTTACCCACAATAGTTTCGGGGAGAGTTCCAAAGAATCTGACGACGAAAATGCAATTGAAATGCTATCAAGTGAAGAGGGTATGTTATGTTGTAAGCCACCTTTATTAAAAAAATACTTTATTAATTTAATATTTTTGTGTAGCAAAGAATATTTTATTCCGGGAAGTTGAAGGATCCACATCAGTTCGTGTTAATGGTAAGACAATCGATAAAATAAGTTTGCATAATGTTATTTTTTTACTAAATTTTAAAGTTTTGATTTTCATATTACTAAAGTTCAAATTCACTTGCCTTGATAGATTCACCTGACACCATGGAAGAAGATACCGAAGAAAATCTCATCGATCTAACACAAGATTATGAAGAAGATCATGTATCCAAGGAAAAAAGCAATACCACAAATAATCAAAGTAAAACTATAACGGAGATAGACATATTTGCTGATTCGCCTTTAAACGACGAGGAGTTCGAAAAGGCAATAACAGACATAAATAGTAATTCCGAAACATCGAAATATGTAAATAAGTTAGATGGGGATGAAGATTTCAAATTAACATTAAGTTTCGAAACAAATAAGATTGACAATCAAGATTTCTTTAAGTCCACTCTTGACTTGGCATCTCCTGAGAAGAAAAGGAAACGTTTGGATAATGGCAACGATTTACAATTTTCAAATGCAAATATCATGGATAATCTTGAGGTGAATGAAATTTCACTTTTCTCAACAAATTTTGAAGTAAATCTTTGTCCAGATATTAGCAGTGTTTGTGGTGAAGTAGCAAAAGCTAAATCAATTACCAACTTAAATGAAGTTAAGATTTCGGAATCAAATGCCATTACAACCAAAAGTAAATCTATTGAAGAGAACGTCCAAAAAGGGGATGATGACAAACTTAAAAGTCCCTTACATTCTCCACACAAAACAAATGAAATCATTGAAATACCCGATGATATTGATTCAGACAATGGAGGAGAAGAAGAAGAAGATATGATCCTCAGAGAAATGGAATTAAATCAAAGTAATAGATCGTTTTTGAATTTTCAAGGATCAAATCAATTACAAACATCATTTCATCGTCAAACTGCCACAATCAAGGATGTCAGTCAAAAACCTTCATCATTTGCGGTTGGAAATGATACAATCTTTCGAGAATTGTATAATAAATATTTGGGTGGTAAGGAGAAATCTAATGAATCTCTATGCAGGAGAAGCTTTTCCCAAATGGTAACCAACGTAAAAACCCCATCTGACTCGAATAAAAATGATAGCAGATTTAGTATGGATTTGGAAATGACCGTTGAACATTGTATAACAAATAGGAAATCCTTATCATTTCATGCAACATCACCTGCAAAACCCGATACGGACACGGGCAAATCTCAGTCATTTAATTTGCAAAATCACAGTATAGATTTGACACAAAACGAAGATGATGAGGGGAAGGGAAATATCATTGACCAAGAGGAGGAGGATGAGGAGGAATGTTTGGTGTTATCCGATGATGAAATAAATTATTCCATATGGCAGGCAAATAAAACAAGTCGTTATAAAGATTCCAATGGAAATTCTGCAGATGAAGAGCACTACAATGAAGAGAAGGATACATCAGTGGTTCTTGATATAATCAACAATGGGTGCTTATCGCCTTCCAAACAGATAGATTTAACTCAAAATTCGTACAGTGATTTTGAAACAAAATCACCAAACGAATCGCCATATATCGATCATAAACTTGAACGAAGTAAATTTGGTATTCTGGAGGAGTTCTCGGAGACATTCGAATCGCCGACACCTAATCAATTGTTAGAAGAAGCATCATTTCTTCAAACGCCCGATGAACCCATAAAACGTTACAGTACCATAGGTAATCGAACAAGTGAAAAGTTTAGTGCCTTATTGAAAAGTGTTGATAATGAAGCTGCCGCCTTGGATGATTTCGATGAATTCGATATGATGGTATATGAAAATCAAAATTCGAAAATCTCCTCAGTGCCAATGGGATTAGATCAATTGTTGACAGCTGAAATAAGTCTCAAAGAATCTCAAAAAACCTCGAGCAGCAGTTGCAGCAGTCCAGTTTTTGATCTAGAGGGAATACCCTCCACCT